AATATATTATGTTGCCTTCTGCTGTCACTCATTTCTGTATATCCAAATTAAGAAGTATCACTACCCCCAAGATCTTAGAAGATTCTAAGTGGGACATGCAGCTTTAATCATTCACTCATTCAGTTCACTCAATATCTACTTCACTCCAAGTACAGAGCTTATAGAATCTATTTCACGCCTTTCTACTTCCTGCTTCTGCTGGGTTCTTGACCAACCACATTATTTGTTCCCTTCTTGGGGCTGCTGACGTATTCCACAGTAATTCATGCTAGAGAATTTCTTCTACTAGACTCTGTTCCTGCACTAACAAGGGACTGCTAAGGCAACCAGATATTTACCACAACATAGAAGATGATTGAGAAGCATAGACAAAGCAACAAATTAATATGGAATATTTAATATAGTTTTCTTAAAATGCCCTGGTCACTCAGCTTTTATCGGCATCTCATCTTAGGATTTCATCTGCCTTAAATTCATGTGTCTACTTATACTAAACCTCTGCTTTTCCATCATTATACTGTTCTTCAGGCCTCCAAAGGACCCAGCTCCTTTATGAGTAGTAATAAAGATGAAAAATCCTGATTATTTTTACTGTTTTCCTAGCATAAGATGCCATATATTTAAATTTTTTTTAATGTTTATTTATTTCTGAGACAGAGAGAGACAGAGCATGAGTGGGAGAGGGGCAGAGAGAGAGAGGGAGACACAGAATCAGAAGCAGGCTCCAGGCTCTGAGCTGTCAGCACAGAGCCCAACGCAGGGCTGGAACTCACAAACCATGAGATCATGACCTGAGCTGAAGTTGGTCGCTCAACCGACTGAGCCACCCAGGCACCCCAAGATACCATATATTTAAAGACAAGCCCATGATTTAGTAACAACCTTTACGGGGAGACGAAAAGACACACTAATTTTGTGTGCATACCTATTAATTATAAGATATAAAATTACTTTATATAATACATGTCTTATAATGTAAAATGAAGAAATCTTTGTCCAGATTTCTCTCTTCTAGACTATTTTTCAGGGATGTGTGGAAGAATTACCTCTAAAACACCAGGCTATTGTATTAACAAGTTTTTCCTAATCAAAAACATACTTCTTGCTATACAAATTAATTTTAGGCATAACAGTTTAAGCAGCAGGTAGCTTTTAAATTAGTGATTTTGGGGGCGCTTGGGTGGCGCAGTCGGTTAAGCGTCCGACTTCAGCCAGGTCACGATCTCGCGGTCCGTGAGTTCGAGCCCCGTGTCAGGCTCTGAGCTGATGGCTCAGAGCCTGGAGCCTGTTTCCGATTCTGTGTCTCCCTCTCTCTCTGCCCCTTCCCTGTTCATGCTCTGTCTCTCTCTGTCCCAAAAATAAATAAACGTTGAAAAAAAAAAAATTTTAAATTAGTGATTTTGTGTGTAGCTCCTATTATACAAGTAAATATTGAAAGCTTCATCACTGTCTAAAGTTCCTTCAAGGAATTTTGGAATCACTAAATTGTTTACAAAATATTTACATGATAAAAATTATATATATATATGTATATATCAATCCATTTAAGAACCTCTAGTTGGCAATCTTTGAAGTCTAGTTATAGTTATTTTGCTAGTGACAATAAGAGTTCTTCTAAGATACTATATAATTCAGATTGTTAATTCAAACTCTATTCATGTGTAATATATACTATGTATTATTTTTTTATTACAAGTCTCAAAAATAAATGGAACAATAGGTTCCAAGGGTCCTATAACTTCTATGTTTTACATTTCCTTCAATTTCTAGGATTTTTACATTCTGTGGGGATGGGGGGTGAGAGGGTTGTAAAATGAGAAACAGTAGTAAAAGCAAAGCTAAAGTTTTATTTACAAAGTTCAGTGCAAAGGGGCATCTGGGTGGCTCAGTCAGTTAAGCGTCCAACTTTGGCACAGGTCATGATCTCACGGTTCCTGAGTTCTGGCCCTATATGGGGTTCTGCATTGACAGTGTGGAGCCTGCTTGGGATTCTTTCTGTCTCCCTCTCTTTACCCATAACTGCATGCACATACTTGCACTCTCTCAAAATAAATAA